CCCCAAAACCCCAAAACCCCAAAACCCCAAAACCCCACAAAAAATATTTAAATTGATTTTCAAATGGAGAATGGATCGACCCAGAGTGGAGGAGTCCAAAAAAGGTTAGAAAAAATAAGATCTGAACTAAACCTCATCTCTTACACTGGTTTGACTAGAAACCAAGTGATCGAAGTAACTTATCCTTCTAATCTATTCTTTAATATAGAAAAAGACTCTCCCTGTTGCAAAGACTAATAGAAATTTATCTTCTGAAAATTACAGATATTCCAACAGAGGACAGACATATGATGCTTTTAACAATTCCTCAGAATCTAGCATATTGAACAGCTCTCACTTGGAGTAGGTTTCATTGTCTATTTTTAGGAATTATGCTCAAAATCCTGTGAGGAAGCAGAGCTACTCCAGGCCTACCTTCTTCAATACACATACTGCAGCTCATATTTGACTTGAAGAAGCTCCAAAAAAGGTACTCTTATTGTTATCTATAGAAGTATCCACAGGAAGGACATTTTAGCAAGAGAGCATTTAAAGTAGACACCACTTCATCTGAAAATATTATGCTACCTAATTACATGTCTGATACTTCCAGGAGTGGTAATAGGATAAATTAAAGTTTAGAGACAAGAACCCATATGACCCATAACTCAATCAGAAAGCCATATTATGATGAAAGAATAAATAACGGTAAATAACTTCAGGAATATCTCTATAGAAACTCTCCACGAGTCCGCACTTTATTACAAAATGAAGGATACTCATAGGTCCCAGTATAGCAGAGACATCATTCAATCTATTAAACAAGAGATATCCCAACGTTATGAGAACGAAATCGAGTCTTTGAAGCGTAGGCTTTCCGAATATGAACATCAGACGATTGAGCTCGAGATGATAACCTCTAAATATAACCGTACACTAGAAGAAAACAAACTAATGCAGGACACCATAAAGTTCCTCATAAATCAAAATGAACAGAACATAAAATCATCCGATGAACATATGAATCTATTAAACCAAAGAATAGACGCTATTCTATCTAACAAACCCATAACGCCAAGTAAATCCCTCTCTCACCCTCTCAGATCTCCCTCAGGACGACCCAGTAGTCACCGAAATAATCTTCCAAAAGCTAAACTCCAAGATTCAAGATCTCGAATCCGAAATCGATCGGCTAAAATCCCTCCCTCCCCCCTCTTCCAGCCACCTAAATTTCCCAAAATCCTCATCCCATACAAGCCAGACTCTGACTGCTCGAGAGCTTAAGAACAGCAGTAACATAAAGATAGCGCACAAACCAAAAGCACACAGCAAGAGCAGAGTCAAGAAAAAAAGAGGTATTTCCCTCTGAACTTTATAGACACAACTCTTGGTAAAGAGAACCAATCTCATAACACAAAGAAGACTTCAGGAAGACTTGCGCTAAAGAAGTTTACAAAGAACTCTCATAGTAGCTTTTTGGTGACTTAAATATAGATAGAGGCATCCTGAAACAAAGAAATTTAAATTTAGCAACCAAGAAAGGAGTATGCAAGGGATCAGTGAATGATAAGAAGGTTTTATAGAAAAGATTCAATCTGAAGGATTAGATGAGGGGTTTTGGGGTTTTGGGGTTTTGGGGTTTTGGGGTTTTGGGG